GAATAAGTACGGAAAATTTAATATTTACCCAGAAGACAACGGAAATAAGGGTATCTCGGTACAGTCCTTCTCATCTCATCTCAATTTCTTCCTCGTTCCCAAAGTTGTGAAGCCTTTGATCTCTTGAACAACACACTTTATATAAAGAAGTTTTTGTATGTGACAAATAAACTCAAAAACTACTGATTCGAATTGAAAAAATATTTTACCGCTAGCTATTACCCGCGACTTCGATCACGCAATATGTCGCCTGTAGCCTGTAGCCTATAATATGCCCGTCTATGTCTACCTTTCAGCGATAGTCCGGTAGAAATTGGCCCAACCGTTTCGGAGATTATGCGGAACAAACGCGGCTGCGGACAGGCACAGACTGACAGGTAAGAATTATACCTTGAAATAACATCTATATTATTATAATAAAGCGTAAACGCACACTTCTTTGTTGCCTAAGATGTCAGCAATTACAGCATGTTTTTGAATAATTCTCTTTTAATAAAAAGCCCTACACTAGCGTCACGCTTTAGACTACATATTTGAACGCCATTAAACTCAGGGGGTAAATGTTTTGCATAAAAACCCTTATGTGGGAAAGACACCATAAGTTGCAGCCGACATCAAGGAAGCAAGGTTGTCATCATGTCATGTCATTTTGAAATTTGTAATTTGACAAATGTGAACAATAAAATAAAATTTTCATAATTTAATGCGGATGAAGTCGCACGGGAACACCTAGTTGTCCAATAAAAAGGGCTAAAATGCTTTTTAAGAGCTAGCGCACGTATTAGACCTATCGCACAACAGTTCTGCGATTGTCGGTTGTTTCGCAGTTCAACTGTTCAGTTCCACAACTAAAATTCGAATTGTGTTCACCTCCATATAACATGATAGGAATCAAAGCGCGGGTAAACAGTTGTGCGATAGTGTTTTTTTAGCAAGTTATATGATTTGTGGTTACGGTTTGCAATTATTTCTTCGTTAGTTGAGCAAAATCTTATTCAAATAATAACTTTATTGTAGTTAACTGAGGCACTTCCTTGCGATCATATTTCAAGAGATTTTCATAATTAATGAAAAACTGTCACTAAACTATTCTACAAGATTAAAATCTTACTATAATTAAATTTACTGAATTTCAAGAAATATTCCACTGGCTTTTACCCGCGACTTCGTTCGCGTGGAATAAAAATAAAGATATGTAAGTAGCCTATGTGTTCTTCCAAACTATGTTCTACATTTGTGCCAAATTTCATCGAGGTCTGTTTAGTAGTTTCGTCTACAAACTATAAGAAACATACATACATGCATCAAAACTTTACATATAATATTATTTGATTAAACAATCGCATTTTGCTGTGCGATTGTCGATTGTTTCCCAGCCAATTCAATTGTTTAGTTGCACAATTAAAAATCGAGTTTTGTGCGCACCTTCATTCATTTATTTATTTATTTATAATTACATGATTTTTAAACGAATTTCTTTGTAGCGTTAATAATACAGATACACATGCTCATGCTACTACAATTATAGATAAACACATCTTGCTTTGATTACATACATGTGTAAACACTGACTATCTTACTAATATTATAAATGCGAAAGTTTAGATGGATGGATGAATGGATGTTTGTTAGAGTTTGTAGCCTAAACGGCGGAATGGATCTCCATGAAATTTAGCACAGGTTTAGAGCGTAGTCTGGAAGAACACATAGGCTACTTTTTATCCCGGGATAAGTTACGGTTCCCGTGGTATTCATTAATTTACTTTTTTAATGTTTACTCGATCATTCTGCAACGGTTCAACATATCTTATTGAAATTTGGCACAGATGTAAAACAAAGTCTGGAGTATACATGGGATAAGCTTCATCCCCGATTGTCCAGTTCCCGAGGGATACGTAGTTTTTTGTTATTTACATAGTTCGTATGTTTTCTAATACCACGCTGACGAAGTCGCGGGCAACAGCTCGTATAAAATAAGTATAATACAATATTATTACGTAAGTGGTTTAAATTGACAATAGATTGATTTCTATAAAGTATATAGGCATCAAAGCAAGACTAAACAGTTGTACGATAGTTTAGTCAAAGGTTTGCAAACGCTAAGAAGTAAGTAAAAATGAACACTAACATAATCTAGTAATTTAATCAGAGTTGAAAAACCTTTTTTAAGAATAATAGAAACACATATTTTTATTTTTGTAAAAGCGATATAAGAAAACCAACACTTGGTCAGAATGAGGCAAGTCTTAAATTTGTTTCATAGAATATAAAAAAAAATCGTCAAAGTTCCATCGCCAGTTTTGATATAAAAAGAATTGGACAAAACTTTTTTCTACAACAATAAAACCTCGTAACCTTCGTTCCAGGTTTTTTATTGGGCACTAAATTTTCCCAATTTTGCGTTTACGCTACGCAATAAATAACAACTTGGGTTAGACTGTTTTTGTATGATTTTATAATTACAATAGCTTCTATGGACTTGTTTATTCAGACTTTTTGACGTCTTTTCAACTAATTTACTAGACTTGCAAAAGATCTTCACCGTCCCTTCTTCCCCTCATTTTAGTTTTTTCCTTTTTATGTGTACTTATTTACTTACTTAGTGCGTTGGCGCAGCGACCCGAAGTGGGTCTTGGACTCCGACACGAGAGAGCGCTAGCGTCGTCTGTCCTGCGTCGTCGCCTGCCAGCCGATCGACTCGTAACTCGCGCAGGTATGTATGTACATTTAGTAAAAATTTTATAAATCATTCAATTTTCAAGTGAAGTCAACCAACCAACCTGCATGGTTGACTATGTCCTAGTCACTCCTTACTTAGGGTAGGCTCCGAGCCCCTCGGTGGGGACCTATAGTGAGCTGGTGATGATGATGATGAATCAATTTTCAGCGGTCTTTTTGTCCTTTTCTTACTACAAATACATCCTACATATTATATTAAATATTTTTATTTTAATCTATATTTACTTTCTAGTATAAAATCACTAAAATAACTGAAAAAATATAAACAAATAATAGAATATTTTTACGTTAAATTAGTTACTTTATATAATAACTTAATTAAGAGATCCGTCGCCGAAAACATCGCCTTCGTGGGACCGTTTTGTCTTGTCATGACTTTGATAAATAGCTGTACCAAATACGTGGAATTAATCAGAACAATATCATACAAAATGTTCACTATAATTTAGCTCTAATAAACATAGTGGAATATTATTTTTTATTTGAATACATCCCATACATCTAACAGTGGTAGAGTCTGCTTTAACGTCTTGACACGAATGGGTTGGCTCGCCACGACCACACAGAAGACAGGCGTGAAATGGAAGCAATTCCGTGTTTCTCGTCTGATGAGTGTGGTGCCGGAGGCCAAATTTAAGTCCCTTTCTCTTTACCACCCTTTTCTTATAAGGAGAGGGTGGGAAGGGGAAGTGGATTTGACGGTGGAGGAGATGCATAGGAAGGGGGACTATCCTCTTTATGTGCGTCTCCGTCGGATAAGGGCAACGCATCTACTATTGGAGATGTCTAAGGGCAGCGATCGCTTCGCCATCTTGGCAGATTCAGGTGGCCGCTTGCTCGTTTGCCACCTTATGTTATAAAAAAATGTAAACAGTTAATTATGGTACAACTGTTTAGTCTCGCTTTGATTCCTGTGACCTTATATTGAGGTGCACACAACTCGATTTTTAGATTTGCAAATAAACAGTTTGACTGCGAAACAATTGACAATCGCATAAAAATTTATAATTCCAGAAAATGTATTAATACATATTGATAACGGTCTTTATTCTAATAGTGGTAGAGTCTGTATTAGCATGTCATATAGGAATGGCTCTTTCTATCTGTGTAATGACGACCACACAGGAGAACTACCACCAACTGATTTAAAAGACCTTTGACATACGACCACGATCAAGTGAAAATTATGTCGCAATGCTTATTAGCGCATCTTCCCTACCTTTTCCAACTCTCGGCAGGTTTGCCGGTTTTCGTCCTCCAAATAACTCAGTCACCAAACCTTAGATATCACCTTGCACGCAATTTGCTTCTTAATGTTTCTCCTCTAATTTCTTCTTAGTGGTGAAATAGTTATTTACCGTCCTTTTCTATTATTTAAAGGGGAATTTTGGCACATGGAATGTTAAAGAATGTAACCAAATAAGCAGACAATTGTTGAATCAAGACTTTACAAGTATAGGCAGTTACCTTAAGGTAAAAGCATATTTTATTTGCTTTGAATTCTCATCGTAATGATCTCTTTGTGAAGGAAATCTGTTTGTGCTGAAAATGGAACATAATAAATAAGATAGCAATCTGTATTCATTTAAAAGGATTCCCATTCTGTACATCTACATTTGTTCCCGAAGTATCTGTGGGGTGTTTAAATTCAATTATTTCTATTTGTCTTCTTAAATTTAATTGAAATGTATACAGGATGATTCTTCATAGACGTATCATCAGTTTTGTGTTGAGATCCTGAATGAAAAAATTGTCGTTTTTTAAAAAAAATGTTCCGCGATATTAAATATTTCTAAAGTTATTTAATTTATTGTAAAATAAAAACGAAAAACACAGATTTTTGTGATTATTTTCGTTCTGCTTATAAGAATCATACTGTATATACATAAGAATTAGATTAAAAATATTTTTATATATATTATAACTATTCTTTGTAAATTAAGTGTTTTATTTAACTATGTGTATTGAAATATTTAAAAAAATACTATAAAAGTTTCAAAACATACTAAAGATTAAACTTGAAAAGAGTTCATTTTTTCCATTATTTTTAAATTCTCAATGTACTCGTAGAAAGGCATTCGCCTGGCGTTAAAATACCTCTTTCCATGATAAGGGTAAGGATTGAATAAAACAACATCATAGAAAATTAACATATATTTAACATAGCACATAAAAAGGCAGTGTCTATTTCATTATTATTTTTTATTTTTATATTATACACTTATATACTTAAACAATATAAGGGCCTGTCACACCAAATTGTAAATTGTCTGATAACAATCCAACGTTTAAAATACGTGATGGAAATATTGGATTGCGTAAGCTTATCTAACAGTGACGTTATTAAGCTACCTGAGCCTTTATCAGCTAGTGGTGGGACAGGCCCTTAATATCTTATTTTGGGTCATTAACGAGCTATCTCTAATATATATCCTGCTTTGAAATTATATAGGAACATGCGATACATAACTATTTTCTGTATAAACTATTTAAATGCTGTATTTTCTTGATGCATCAAATGCAACTTAATTAATATTATACAAAATTATTTTCTTCAGACAAAACTTTCATTACTTTTAAAGTCGTATACAAATATATTTTTACTCTCTTTGTCTTGCGATGGCACACACACGAATCTGTTTTTAACATCGTTTGTATCACTCACGTCTAAAGTTACTGAATAAACACTATTGGTCTTGATATCTAAATTCAATATCTGTATCTGTTTGTTGGTATCTGTTATTTCTTTTTCATCGTTGATTTGATTTTCGTGTACATCGACTTGTACATCTCTACCATTCTCGACTATTCCATTAACAGTTGTTATAAATTTAAGACTGTTACGTTTTTTGTCTTCGAATTTTATAATATCACCTAAATTATCATTTAATTCATTCATAGCTGATATCATTGTCATACTGTTCCTTCTTGTGTTCTCAACGTTTATTATTTCACCCACTTTCACTTGTTGCACTTTAGTATCGAATATCTCTTTAACTTCTTTTGTTTTAGTACTACTTCTATTTAAAAAGTACTTTTGTGACGACGCCCTATTACTATATCTCCTCCAAAAAGATTCTGATGCATTCTGACTGCTTGAAAATCCAGTCGAAGTGGTTGTATTGAATGTGTCTCTTCTCTGCATATTCTCTCTTAAATTCCTACCACATCTCATCAGTTTATTTATCTTTAATAGTTTTACAAAACCCTCCCTAAATTTAGAAGACATCAAATTGTATAATATTGGATTAATAGCCGAGTTTAGATACAGCATAACTCTACAAAAATACAAAAGTATATAATAACCGTCTATACCTAAGGACATTATTGTCTCTGGTGGGAATACGATGATCCATAATGTTAGAGCCTTAAATGGTAGAAGACATACGAAGAAGGATAGTACAACTGTACCCAACATTAGAATGACTTGTTTCCTATAACGCAGTACATTGCCAGCATTGTTAGAGTTCTTGCTGTGTTGGGCGATGATCACAGGGTTCTCCATGAGGTTTTTAGCGATAACACTGTAGAGAACGAGTAGAACTCCGAGTGGAATGATGAAGAAGACGGCGATGATGAGAATAAAGAACAGAGCGGACCAGAAGGTGTCGGCTTGCGTGAGGCAGACGGGCACTTCGGTTCCGTCGTCGTATTTCTCGTAGGTGAATGTGGCGACGCCTAGTATGGGACTGGAAAATAAAAAAAATAGTATTAAGTACACAAAAGCATGAAGGATAAATTCCATGTATCAATTTAAATAAACTTTATGACAGAAATACTTTTTTAAACTACTAATCAACAGTTAAAAATTGTCTGAGTTAAATTGTGAATCTTGAACCCTTAACGTTTTTCCGTTGAATTTTTAAAGAGTAGTAAAAATTATTCAAGGCTAAAATAACAGTAATACGAGTATCTACTCGTATCTATATCTATATCTATAGAGCTGGCTTAGAGTCTGACATTGAAAACGGTTGGCTTTACCAAAAGTTTGAAACAAGATAGTTAAAGACAAACAAAACAAGTAACTAGACAAACTGTTTTACGGTCAAATTAAATTGCCAAGTGAAATGCTTTGATAAGATAATTGTTTAAATGATTTTTGGAAAATTCTTTTGACAATAGAATTCTTAAATATTCCTCATGTTACCCCCAGTTAAAATACCTTTCTAACGGTGAACATCGACTTCAAATCGACCTAGTAGTTTTAATGTGAAACAAATACATACAAAAATAGATTAATATTATTCTTTCCTCTTTATAATCTTAACACTAAATAATACTGTTATAAAGAGGAAAGATTTATATTATTTTATTTATTGAAATAACTCAAAAACTACTTGGCCGATTTTAAAAATTCTTTCATCGTTACAAAGGTAATTTATTATTGAGTAACATAAAGCATTTTTTCTTTTTACATTCACGGGGACGAAGACGTGAGCAACAGCTAGTTGTAGTATAAAATTGTTAGTAAAAAAAGTATGATATATATAAGTATGTAAAACTTAAAAACCACTTGGCCAATTTTAAAAATCTTTCACAATTAAAAAGCTATACGTCATCACTGAGTAACAGAGCCTATGTTTACTTTTAGATTTTATTTAAATTCCGAACACAGTCTCAGAAAAGTTAGTATAAAATGTAATTGAAAAATAAGCCCATCCATTTCGTGTTAGCTTTCAAAGGATTTAAGTAAGAATAAGTGACAAAGCGGTGGTTCATTTCTCGTGTTTCAACAATGGAACTCGGCTTTCACGACCCAGATCGTCTGGTAAATAATGGAAGTCGAACACCGGTTATTGCTTCTATTTTTGGCAATTTTCCACGTTCAAAGGTACTTTTTGATATACGATATTTTTATATTAATTATAGAAATACTGCCAGCTACAATGAGTACCAAATCGCAGTTATTTCATTATAATCTTAATGTTTTAAATGCGTTTAGATAGATGTTTGAAGTGTAAACTTCTGAACGGATGAGATTTGGCATAGATATAGAATGAAGGAACACATAGGCTACTTACTTTTGTGTAGTGTGTAGCACTAACATCATCTACCAAAACACTATAGACCGATACTACCTGACTCGGTAAAAAGTAATAACAGCTCACTAGCGCCCTTCTGTCAACGTCAAAAGTATCTCAAGATGGTTTTCGTGCCGTAGCTATGTCATGTCTTTTTACTTAGACTCAGATAACTTTTTTAACTATAGATAGTATTTAAAGATTATGACACTAAAGGTGCGATTTCACAGAACGCCAAGTACGGCAATTGTACTGCCATTACTGTATCGGTATCTGTATCTGTTTCGGTATCGGTATCAGTATCATACAAATTGATACAGCGAAGTAACGCTATCTGCCGCGTCTCATGAAATTGTATCTTAACAATGGTAATTATATACTTATTCTGAGACAATTGTAAACCTGTTTTGTATTGTACCAATATTTAAAAAAAAATGAATTTTGATGTGATATTTTGTGTAGGTATCAGGGATTATGTAATAAAAGTCTATATAAATAACAGATTAAATATTTATCTATATATTTTGATAATATAGGCCATAACGTACACATAGTTATAGAAAATATAGTAAGTTCTTACTTTATTAGGAAATTGCGAGCCCATAAAACTATTAACGATTTTGTGTAATATATTTTTATTTACTACGCTTTATATGCATAATATAATATAAATACTTTTTTTAAATTGATTGTAAATGAAATATCTTAATTAATAAATGAATCGTATTTACAAAATAAATCTATCTACTTACGATTATCTAAATAAATAAGCAAAATTTATGGCACTAAAATAACTATCAAATAAAAATAACATCAATACACTAAATAGCAATATCTTTAAATAATCAGACAAAATATTAATATAAGAAATAAATTAATGATAGTTTTATGAGCAAGCTACAAACAAACTTATCTATCAGACGAAACTCTCGGGGAAGTCATAATCGACACTCCTCGACTTCTGAAAGCCGACCACACATTCGACCCTTA